CATCATTATCCACATTTTCCTCAAAGTGATAAACATTAAGTTGAATCTACAACATTATACCATATGTCTGCATGAATTCTTGTAACAGATGTGCTGAGGCTTGGAAAAAGTTATTTTAGATAAGCCAAATAATCTTTTCAATTATCTTTTGCTGAAAATATTGTATTTTTGTAGGCATTCAAGAGCATTATGGCATAAAATACTAGCCTAATTATCATTATCTTCTCTATTATGTTTGCTGAAATATTTTTGAAGTTGTCAAATATGCAGCTATTTGATTATTTGGGAAGAACTCCTTGAGTATTTTCCAACTGCAGTGTATTTTGTTTCTGCATGGTATAGTTTAATTCAGCTACAAGATGGGGGAGGAATTAGCTGGCAGCAAAGACGGCACCAGTCACTTTGGTTTTTTGGCAAGAAAGGCAATCCTTAGATGAGCTATACGGATGATATTTCCTGATGAATGAGATATTCCATCGCAATCTGTGGACGTAGCCGTATGAATAAAGGCTGTTGAAAGGGGTTAAGGCATTTCTTTGTCCATAAGCAGTTCACTGAACCTCTTAAGGCTCCACATGGCAAGATGCTGAGAATTTTAACCTAATGCAGAAACAATTAAATGTAAGCTGAGTGATAAGCATAAGAATGGTCTTAACCAACTTGCTTCCCGTTAAGCTCATGCTTAAGTCTTTTGCTTGGTTGGGCAGAAATATTTAGCACCCCCCAGGACTGAGCCCGTAATATCAAAACTTACAGGCTGGCAAAGATTTGCTGGGTAGATGGGGGATTTTGGTAGGTCCCACATAACTGAAAACACCGCAAAACAATACTGGTCTGGAAATGAAGAGAGACATCAAAGCAGCAAGCAGAGAGGCATGATTTACAGTGCATCCTGATAGCTACAGGAAGCAGAGCATTTGGAAGTTGCTCAGAGGCGAGTTGGCAATTATTTTCCCCAGCTCTTGAATAAGCATGAGCTAGGCGCCATAAATGCAAGTGTTTATATTCGGACAGGAGAATAAAGCATTGTGTTTCGAGCACTGGTAGATCTATTTACCTAAATTATCACTAAACCTAATGTCACCCCCGTACACTCCATAGCATGTTATTGAGCGTTCCAGCTGAGTAATCTCATTAGAATTTGTCTCATTTTCACCTCTGGCAGCAAGCATGTACACAGCTTCTGAAAAGGTTATTCACACAATATTGCATGACCTTGATGAAAGGCTAATTTGATAAGAATTCAATTTAAAATTCCATTTGTACTGACAAACTAAGATTTTATTGATGTCACAAATTTTCAGCAGTGGAAACGACATTAAAATTGAGACTGCATTGTTCTTAGGACCTGAAGGTGAAAAAGGCAGAGGATTTATATGAGCTGCTTTATCAAAAGGTCTAAACACCTTGCAGCAGTTTACTTTAAAAGCTTCAATAAACTGTTCTTAAGTTTGGGGGCTTTTCTCTCTCTCTCTCTCTTTCTCTCTCTCTTTGTCTACTTGAAGTAAATCTCCAAGGTGGTGAAGATAAAGCAGTAGCTGATAAGTAAGATTGTTTTTTCTAGGCTATTCCAGCTGTGGATTTTGCCCTTGCATTTCTGGGTATGAGGCTGCCATTATCGTCTCCAAAACCATTAAATAAAAGGAATGTGCTTTTCCTCTGGAATTCATTCATTAGATTTACATGATGTGAGAGCATGATTCTCCTCTTGTGTGGTGTAACATCACTGAAGCTGATGGAAGGAAACCAGGTGTAAGTGGGGGGAAAAGTAAGAGGGTTGTTCTCTGTATTTTCTGCCAGGCTGAGCCTGAGAGTTGGCTACATTTAAAATGTTTTACTAGTATAGCCATAGACACAGCTGTACTGGAAAAGGGTTTCTTCCTAGCCAGCATCACTAGGGCCTATGTCCAAATCACCAAATCTTTCCAAACCTCTCAGAATCGATTCGGAGGGTTCCAGTTCAATTCAGAGAGATTAAAGGGGTCCTCTGATTCAATTTGGATTTGGAGATTTGTCCGCCGAATTGAATCACGCACAGCCCTAGCAACCATGCCAGCAAATGTTTAATTGTAAGATGCAGCTTTACTAAATGTCAGGCCTTTTTAGCATAAAAGTTTGAATGAACTTAAAGTCTGTTTGTAGTTAGACAGGTGACTACATAGCAATGGCTATCTATAGCTTTCCCCTTTCCTCCCCATTGTGTCTTACAGGTAGTATTCACACAAACCAAGTTCTGTAGAGCTAATATGGGAACTAAGCTAAACTCTGCATGCAATTGCTTCCTTTATCTTTATAAACAGAAGAGGCAGAGAGATCACAGCTTCATTTTCAAACCTGGGGAGGAATTAGCTGTGCAGGGTGATCTATCTTCTCCATAATCTGAGTCACACATACTTTCAACCTAAAATGACTCAGTTTTTAGCTCAAGGAGAACAGCAGCAAGAAAGAATAAACCTAAAGCCCTTGTTGAGTGATTACGGCATTTGTACCTCCTCTGTAACAGGCTGAAGCTACCCAGAGAAATAAAACAGTTGCTTTCTTTGTTCTTAGCAGCTGAGAGGCACATCACATGGAAAATACAGGCATCACAGTGACGTTACAGCAAACTGGAAGTCCGAAACCTCCAAGACACTAAGTTGTTCTGAAAAATCTATCCCTCGTCGTCACTGAGAGCTGCTGGGTGCTGAGCATTTGAAGTGTGGGAGTTTGTACCGAACCCAGAGCCTGGGGGACTAGCAAGAAGTAACTTAGGAAGTCTGTAGTACAGCTGGGAATTTATCCCCCGATTCTGAAATCCTGTTCAAGCTCCTTACCTACAAAACCTATCCTCTCTCAATCCATTTCAGGTTGCACTTTATTTTGTTATGAAGCAATATGTTGATTGGTGCCACTGTGCATGCATTTGATATATAGCCAGCTACAGACCTAGTTAAAGCTGAGGGTGTGCCAAACTCTCTTTAGAGGATTCCCTTAATGCAAATGTATCTATAGATATTATTTTAAGATGCCTCTCTCTCTCTCTCGCTCTCGCTCTCTCTCTCTCTCTATATATATACACATATATAATTTTAACTGTAGAAGGCTATTGCCTAAGGCAATGGGTCACGTGGCAAGGCCTGCTCAGAAACTAAAGTTTGGTCTACACTAGAAAGTTTGGCCAGCAGAGCTATGATGGCAAAACTCCTTTATCTGAATGAGGGACACTTCTGCCCGCAGAGCTTCTGCCATCTGGGAGGTGGCATGGTGAAGCTGACATGAAAAGAAACCTCCTGACCACATACACTGCTTCCCCTCTCCCATTGTAGAAGGGCTGGTAAAGCTGTGGTGGCAGCAACCCCATAAACAAGTTGTCCAAGAGACTTGCACTGCCCATTTCTCTTCCTGCAGGAGGCAAATGTTTAGGCCCTAAAAAAAATGTTTTTGGGGTTGGCTAACCCTTTCAGGAAAAAAAAAGGGAGCAGCAGCAACAATATCAGGCTACCATGAATAAGTAGGCTGTAGAAGCGAAGTAAAGGATGGAGAGATGGAAATGGTTAATCCACGGTTCCATGGTCCCGCAGGTCGATGCAATGCTTATAACTGTTTTTTAAAGTCTGCTGAGGTTGTGTTCAAAATAACTACCTATAGCACAAACCACTTGTGCCAGTAACACATGGGTGGGCTTATAGCATCCGTTAATAATTTATTAACCCTTTATAAATAGTGTGACCTCTTTTCTCAGCATTGCAGCAATCCGCGGCTGACAGGGAAGACAGGGGATCAGGGGAAAGGCAAGTTTAAATGTTGTGTTGTGCAAGCAAGGGTCAAGGAAGGTAACAGGGAGCACAGAGAAAACAACTGCAAGTAGCCAGAGGCAATAGGAGGGCACAAGCTGACATGTACTGAAGAAAAGCAGGTGGAAGAGAAAAGCAAAACATCCCATTAGCTTGGGGGGTTTATTAATGTTAATTATTTCTTTCCTCCTGAATCCAGAAAAGTGCAGCAGCAATACAAGCTGTTGTTTGTGCAGAAAGGTGTCAGTGCAAGGCGGGGAGGGGGCACACGTGGGAAAAACAGCTGGGCAGAAGGCATTGCTGACACCTAGCATTTGCACTTCCCTGGATTCAGACTTTGTGATAGCAAGGCAAAGAGAGATTTTTTCACGTGGCCTCGTTGAAGTGCTGCCTAACTCGGCTTGTACTTTATTTTTATTTTTCCCAAAGCAAGAGCAAGGCAGAACAGACTGTGCTGTTCGAAGGGACAGACCCACGGCTGATGTAAATAGGTGTAGCTGCATTGGTTTCGGTGGAGCTATATTAACTCACAGCCCCAACCTATCCCTGTATTATGTGGTCTCTCTACACTACTGGTTCTCAACCTTTCTAGACTCCAGGCACCCCTCAGAAAATGCCAGCCTCTAGCTTTCACTCTTACCTTGACTATGGAAAAAGAATAGAGCCATTCTTCTCTCGCAAAGCACCCAGAAAGATCACAACCGGTCAGAATGCTTTTCACACCAAGGAGTCCCACTTGAATCTCTGGCTGTATTTGTGAATGGTGTAGGTGTTTGCACACCTAACAGTCTGTACCCACTGTGCTTTGGAAGCGTTGCTGATACAAAGCTCCCTGCTCCTAAACAGAAGTAGGTTATTACTCATGTAGGAGGAGATTCACTATGCACAAATACTGCACATTCAGGGTGAGATTTTTTTTTCAAGGCTACCTAGGGCAGTTCCATTACTTAAAATCCTCTCCTAAAACACCTAGTGTTATCTGTGATCTTCCTTGAATCGCTTGTTGTATTTCTGCTTCCCCAAATTCTGAATCCATGCAACAACTGAATCTCATTTCCTCTGAAATTTGAGTGACCTGTGACTTCCATGAAATCCCTGATAACATTTAGGTAATCACAATTCACCTTTGTATTTCCCCTCCCTCATCTTCAGTCTCGAAGAACTTTCCACTGTGACACAATCCATCATTTTCCCCGGGCAAAGCTGTAATCAAAGAGAAGGCACAATCTGAACTGGTAGGAGAACAGTATTATCTCTTTTCTATCCCTGCTTAGAACTATTAATTTAACTCATCTTCTCCCATTGACTTAAATCTGATCCAGCTGACGAGTGACTTAACTCTGAAACATCCTACATTTCATAATGCAAAGTTTTGCACTTTTTTTTTAACTTGTCAACTTTACTTGAAATTATTTGTTGCTGCTGGATTTACTAAGGTACGTCAGCTCTGGAGCAGCAGTAGGTCTGCTGATGCACCTTAGTTTTTTTGTTTTGATGATTTGTTGTTTTGGAGTTTTTTCGCTTTTTTCAATCCAAATTGCAAGTCTGATTCCAGTGTTAGATCTTAAATTGCAAAGTGATTGCTAAAGTCTGGCCAGCGTAGGAGTAAATGACTAAAACACCAAAGTGCACTCAATTTAGTAGTAAGATTGCAGAATCCTAGGAGAGATCTGGATGAATATGCATGATGTCCATAATAAGTTGGAGCTTGATGTTTAAATGCTTCCTTCTTTGGAATGATCTTTACAAGTAAACCCACTGGTGTGATTTGCCTAAAACTCCAGGACATAATCAAGATTAATGTATCTGTTTCCTCATTGCAAACCAAAGTTCTTAGAGGGAATTTTATTCAAGAAAAGACCCAAAGTTCGCCCCGTTTTTTCATTTAAGTCGACCAGTTACAGGCACAATGCTTTGCTAATGGGACTGTATGGGACACGACAAAGTGGAGCAAGAAGAGCTCTACTATAATCGGGTCCCCAGGGGGCAAGAAACTGGACCACCCTGCTATCGGAAGTTCAAAATGTGGATTTTTAAGAGGGGCACCCCTACAGTCAATAAAGGACAAAGAAAACCAGCACTGCCCTTGGTTTTGCAGAAGAGCGAAAGCTTCTATCCAGCAAAGCACTTGAGCACGTAAATAGTTCTTCTAGCTGCACTGAACTCATATTTTAAAGTTAAGCATATGCTCAAGTGCTTTGCTGGATCCATACCTAAGTGGGCATACAGGCTGTTAGCTACTACAAGGTTGCTCATGACTAGGAAGAAGCATTGTCCGTGCATTTGCCTTTAAAAAGTCGGTATGGATTTCAGATCTGAGTTCTGTAGTCGGTCTCGCTTCACATGTGAGAGAGGAGTTGTGCCATACAGCAGCACTGATGCTGGCCCCAGAGAAGGGTGTACGCTCATGTAATGTCATCTCCAAGTGGCTGCTTGCAACTGTGATCTTGCTTTCACCAGCCTTTCTTTCATCTTGAAGTCCCTGGATCTGCTGGACAAGAACTTGCGTTCTGGACTTGGACTTCCGCCGGAAAACGAATGGTCATTGGTCCTTATTATCAGGCACTGCTTATCAGTAGGCACTAGAAGCACTGAACTCTACATGTCCCAGCTCTAGAGCCGATCCAGTATTATAATTCCTTTGAGTTACTACCTTGGGAAAAAAAATCAAATGTGTTCTGAAAGTAATGATAACCTCTGAAAAATCAAGCCACAAACTAAAAAGCCAGCCATATCTTACTTAATTTCCTTTTTCTTTGATAGGTTTTGCAATAAATTACTTATTTAATGGATACCATGAAACATCACACAGTGATATTTCAAACATTCCTGCCTTGATCATTTAATACCATTTTCCCCTTTTTTTATTATGCTATAGGCAGAATTTTAATTATAATATGTATGCAAATTATGTTTGTATAATCATATTTGAAAGAGTGTGTGGATCAAATTTTCCAGCCAATTTATCTAAATACAAGCTTTAAACTTTCCCTTTATCACTGTCACAAATACTCTTTTTCTTAATTTGTCATTTCAGATGCTTCCTATTAAAATATCATGTAAGGCTGAATTCCTCTCTCTGGCCATAAAAGAAAAAGCTGGATCTTTGATAGACGAGCTAAACAAAATCATATCGCCCCTGAAGACTCTTTAACATAAAAGTAGCCTTAAAAAGGCAAAAATGAATTGCTTGCTGTCTTTTTAAATTTTTTTTCTTTCATGAAGGGAACTCTGTATGAAAAAGACTGCTGTTAGGTGATTTTTAAACAGGTTTCTTTTCTTTTGACTTGCATTTTTTTTGTTTCATTATAAATTCAGGTTTTGTATATTGTGTAATTTTTTTTTGGTGAGGGTGAGGGGGTAGCAGGTTCCTGGAAGGCTCTTTGGACAACTAGAGAGCTGGTAGGGTTTTGAGTAGACTCTGCCTAGATACATATATGCCAGTGGTTAAAAATGTGCCAGTTGGTGACACCCCAGAAATATGCAGCCTGGTTTTGTAGGCACGGTAAATCTTTTTGTTGATGTGTGCTGCAATGGGTTTTCATTATATAGCTCTTTAAGGCAGGTCTTGATGGCTGACAAGGAACAGAAAGTTATATTATCGAGAAAGAAAGTGGTTTTCAGTCAAATGCCAGATTCTGGCGTTTAGCTGAGCTCTGCCATTCTCAGTATTGGACCTGGTATGTGAGCAGGAGAATACTTAGGTATTATAGTCCACTGGTGCTTCCTTTCTTTCCTCCTCGGCCTGCCTTTCACTGGTGGTCAGCTTCTCCAGGTTGTATCTTGGTGACAAGAAATCTGAAGATTTCTCAGCTTCCAAGAGAAACCCATGATTTCCAGTCATCTTCTATCCTTTTTTTTTTTTTTTAACCAAAGAATGACATGTATTGCAATGCTCTTAGAACAGAGAGAGTTGGTGCAGCGTGGGAAAGAAGTTGAATAATCACAGGTTCTTGGGAACTGCCAGAGGTTGAAATATATTGTAATGACCTGAGAACACAGAGCCCCAGAGCAGGAGAGAGATTAAATGCTTATTTTTTTTCTTTTTTAAGGATTCAGTGCGAGTAGACTTTGCTTTTGGTCCTGTTGACACTGGACTGTGAAATGTAGAGGTTGGATGCTAATTCACTTGCTTTGCGAGTCCTAATTCTATCATTGGAAAAATTAAGTCTGACACCTGGTGTGAAACAAATGTGACAGCCCATTTTTAAAGATCTACATGAGCAGCTTTTATTTCATACCAATTTCTTTATTAGTCAAAGTTATACTAGTCAATGAAAAAGATCAGAGGAATGATGGGTTGGGCCCTGGCTTTATGCTGGTGCTTTGATGACTCAAGGTGGGTTGCAAAGTTGCCTTACGGAGTAAGTGAGGACTGCATTGGCCAGGGGAAGTCAGCAGTGTCAGCAGGTTCATGGTGTAAGCAGGAACCAGCGAGTTTTGCTGAACGTGCAGTCAAGGAAGAACTTCTTTACAGTCCGAGCCCCCAAGGCCTGGAGCAGACTGCTGCCACAGGTGGTGCCAAGCACCTACTCTGGATTCCTTTAAGAGTCAATTGGACATTTATCTTGCTGGGATCCTGTGACCCCAGCTGACTTCCTGCCCCTGGGGCAGGGGGCTGGACTCGATGATCTGCCAAGATCCCTTCCAGCCCTAATGTCTATGAAATCTATGAAATACTAAATGGATTCAGTTAATATCATGCTGTTTTTCCAACACCGACTTTCCATTCTACCAGCACCATGATCGACATGCCTTAAGGTTTCAAGAAGGGCAAAAGCAAGCATCCTCGTTAGATAAGATAAATGGGTTCCTTTTTATTGATGACTGTCAATTAGCAGAGCAGTGCACCAAGGACCTAATAAAAAGGTGGGCACTATTTTTCTGGGTGGCATCATCTGATAAAGAGGCCATCCTCACCTGAGAGATCCTCTTTGGGACTCATGTAACGAAGCAAAAGAGAACCTTAATATCACAGAAGATCTAAGCTGGGAGGAGCTCTTATCTACTTGAGGGGGAGCCACGGAGGGCTGACCTTGCAGAGATGGCAGGTTGGACGATGACTAAGCTACAGGTACAGTTTAGTACGACCTTCGCCTGTATTTGCCATAACGGGCTGAGGTCTGCTTTCAGTAGACCTCAAAGCCAAGAGCCAGTCTGAGTGGGATGAGAATGCACTTCTCAAGTAGCTACTTAAAGATGGCAGCATGCTCGCTCAGCTAGGGAATCCAGCAGTTTCCACGTAGTGCAGTTAGCACCAGTTGATATGAAGTGGAACTGGGCTATCATTTTCAGGCTCCTGTACAGTAATTGTGCAGTAATGGCTCAGAAAGTCTCTGGCACGTGTAATGAGAGCCTGACTTCTCTACTCTTCCTTTACATCCTTTCTGAATGCCACATGTAAATCCTCCATGCCATATTAGCACATGGTGATGTTCATTAGCAAATGACTCTAGGGTTGTCTAAATGAGGAAAGCAATTAAGCAGATTTGTGCAAGACAAAGCATGTATTGATGAATATAATGATGACACGTGTAGAATAATTCCAGACTCAAAGAGAATGTGAAATCCACGGGGGGGAGAGGAAGGCAGTGCCTTTCAGTGAAGGTGTAAATCAGCAATTATGATCTTTCTTGGACTACCCTTTAAAACTCCTGGATTAATCACTGCTGCACTGTACATAAGGTTCCAAAGAAAGGAAACAACCAATATTTTCACATAATTAAAGGAAATTGCATATCCAATACCTTTTAATGTGATTAACAGTTATGGGGGAAACTGTTTAAAAGCAGCAGTTAAGAGGAATATTAGAGTGCCATTTAGACTGAGTTAAATAACCAAGGTTATATCTACCTAACTGCAAATTTGGAGGGTCTGCCTTGTGGGTGAGATAAAACTGTTCACTCAGATAATGAAGCAGGCAATACCTGAAAGAGATGATAATTGTGACTGCGAAATGGGGCTTCAGCAGTATTTATTTATCTGGCTTTCACCATGATGAATAGAGAATTTGCACAAAATCTCAGTACATCAAAAAGATGCCAGTACATAAAATGGGAATATTATTCTGCAATAAAAAATAGATACATTTCTAAATCCATTATGCAGAAAAAAAGAGAATGTAGGACTGAGCTTATTCCTTGGTCACAGCTCAGTGGGTTGTACTGATTTTTTGAAAGCAGGAGGAATAGAAAAGATTAAGAACAACACATAGTGTAATTTTTTAAAAGACCACTGAAAAGGTGCCATCCGAATAGATGGGCGCACCTGCTGGCTCAGAAACCATGGCGATGAGCATGATATAAATGCCTAGGTAGGCAGATGGAAGGACTGATTTCCATGCACGTGAAAATAATATTTGTATATGAAAATCAGATAATATATTGTTTCCAGTTTTGCAGAATGGCAGTATTTAAAGGCCACAACTGCAACTGGT